CAGCGGAGCCGAGCCGCGCTCCTCGCCCGCCGGCCTGGGCACGGGTACGGCACATCTGGGCACATCTGGGCACAGGTACGGCACATCTGGGCACAGGTAGGGCACAGGTAGGGCACATCTGGGCACATCTGGGGCACATCTGGGCACGGGGAGCGCGGGGCATCCGCACCGCCCGTAGGGAGAGCTCCGGTGCCGGCAGGGGACAGTCACCTAGCGGGGATGCGGCCACCTGAGCCGGGACTCGGTCACCTCTGGGAGATGTGGACACCTCTGGGAGATGCGGACACCTCTGGGAGATGTGGACACCTCTGGGGGATGCGGACACCTCTGGGGGATGCGGACACCTGAGGTGGGACCCGGTCACCTGTGGGGCAGGCGAGCATCTGTAAGAGGGCAAGGCTCACAGGATGCCAAGGCTCCTGCAGGGGCTGCAGCCGCGCAGAGAGGCTCGGGAGCTTTTTATCCGGGGTAAAGGCGTTCCCGGCAGGAAACAGCCCGGAGTCCCCGGCAGGACAGCACCTGGCTGGAGCAGGTGGAAGAGTAAGAGCAGCAGGTTTATGCCATCCCATAGAGTTTGCGTTTTGGAGGTGGTGTTGCATGAGCTGGTTATATTTTAGTTGACTTTTTTTGTCTGTGCAAAGATTACATTTTATTTGCCTTTTTTTTTTCTTTTAATTTATTTTTTTTTATTGCTTATTCGTGTAAATACAAGTTGAGGTTTTGGGTCACAGCCCAGTTACATTTTGATTCAGACAGGGTTTAATTTCCCCCTTTAAAAAGTGTTTTAAATAAGTTGGGCCATATGGAAGTAGAGTTGTTCATCAACCAAAGGAACTTTAAGAAATTTGAAAAATAAGGTTGTATATTTCTGGAGCAATTTCTTGAGTATTGAACCAGCACCAGTACTCAAGCTCTTGATTCAGTCATTTCCTTTGTTGGGATCAAGACTTAATCCGTCCATACCTGTGTTTTCACAGCTGCAAAATGGGAGCTACACGTATTGATGAGGTGCTTTACATTGTTTGTTTTGGTTTTTTTTTTGGAAAGCCCTAAATTAAAAACAGGAAAAGCAGAGGAAGATCATTAGCAAGGGTAGCAAAGAGTGCAAAACGTGTCTGGGGGAATATTGCATGTTGAATGAGGCTCACCTGAGAGAGATGCTGTGGCTACAGGAGTGCACAGTGAGAAACTCCCTCTCTGTTGTATTCCTGTGTCGTGCAGTTCATCCCTTCCCTGCTGCTGCTCTGAGTCCTGCACAGTGATGACAACAGCACGTGTGGCAGCACAGCAGGAAAAGCTGCACAACCCCTGCCAAAATGGGCTGGAGCTGTCCTGGAGGGCAGGCCCAGCCTCTTCATGCCCTGGGTGTGGAGAGAAACGTGTGAGACACAACAGTGTGAGCAGCTAACCTGCAGCATTCTCCTCCAGTTACAGCCTAGATCCCCTTGGGAGCAATGGAAGGGCTTTCCTGAGGTTCCAGGTCCTGCATCCTGAGCTAGGGCTCCGTCCTGGAGGCCGTCAGGAGCTGCAGGGTGTGCTGGCAGCAGCACGGAGCCTGGAGAGAGAGGCTGAGCAGGGAGTTTTGTACTGGCTCCCCCAGGGGACAGGGTGAGGATTGGGATGGTTTCCTTCTGGCTGGACAAACAGCTGCTCTGCAATGTTCTGCAATGTTCTGCAATGTTCTGCAATGTTCTGCAATGTTCTGCAATGTTCTGCTATGTTCTCCCCAGCCTGGGCTCCTGAGCAGCAATCCAGGCAGGGAGCTGGCTCCTGTAACAGCACATCCACCAATGCCACTTTATTCCCTTCCACAGCTAATTCCTTCACAAACCCTCCTTTGCCTTGTCCTCACAAAGAGCCTGAGGAGTGGAACAGAGCCACCCTGGCTAGAGGGAAAGCAGGCTCAGTCTGTGAGGAGGGGAAAGCTCTGATCCTCACGTGTCTCTGAGCAGTGACAATGTGGGGTTCCAGAGCACCAGGACAAGGCAGAGGCTCTGGGTACAGAAGGTTATCCAAGATAAAGCAAGGGAGGGGGAACTGTCTCAGAAGGGTTATTAATTTGTTCCATTTGGATGAAATAAATAGACTGGAAATGAAGGAGAGAATTTGTGTAAAATAGTATAATATTATTTAAATCTGCCCACTTGATCTTAGCCAAAAGGCTGAGAAAGAGGGAACAGACAGAGTTGAATTATCCAGACTGTTGCTGCCAGCACTGGATTTTGGAAGATGATTGGCTGGTGACAATCCAAAATTACAGACAGTGAGTCGTGCACAGGACATCAGCCAGCCTGTGATGGCTACAGGTGCTCAGGGCCCTGGCTTTAATTCCCATCCTCGGATGCTGCCTCCAGAAGCACAAAAGGGACGTACATATTTATGAAATACCAGGTTTTATCCACTTTTTTTTCAACTTTTCCATTTCTGCTGCCAGATTATTCTCCCTGAGGACAGACTGCTTTAAGCCAGCATGTCTTCAAAGACAGAATGCCTGAAAACTATCGTTTTTATTCAATTCAACTTTTTAGGGCAAAAACTTGGTTTTCAGACAGACAAGGCATTTAATCACCAGTAATTTAGAAGATCAGAACACTAAGATGATCTTGTCATTAATACAGAAATACCCTAAGTGTAGTTAACAAACAGATTTATATGTAACTGCTCTGGATGAGAATTTAGCTATTTCAAATTAAATAATAATAGCTGTTTTATGGAGAACATATGCAATTATTATTGGGACAGTAACTGTGTGACGTTTTATTGCTCATCAGATATGTTCTTTCCATGAATCCAGCCCTGCCTGATCTGCTTGATGAAGTAGCAAAAATCTACTTCCATTGTTTCCCTAATGTAAAATCTGTTGGTCCTCACGAGCCTGAGGAGCCCAGGGCTGCATGTCTTGGGAAGAATTTTTTCACTGGAAGGGAGCTCAGGCCTTGGAAGTGCCCAGGGAGGTTTGGAGTGCCCATCCCTGGAGTGTCCCAGGAGGGGCTGGAGGTGGCACTGAGTGCTCTGGGGACAGGGAGGGGATGGGCACAGCTGGGATTTGATGTTCTGGGAGGGATTTTCCAACCCGAGGGATTCTGTGATTCTGGGAGGGGTGGCTCATCCTGGGGCAGCTGAGTTTTACACACTTGAGGCGTTGTGGCCTCACGTGCTGCTGACACCTCACGTGTGAAATGGTGATAATACAGCAGAGTCTGTGCAGTGCTGGGAGATCAGAAACCAACACCAGCCTTGCTCCACTACATAGGGAGAGTTATGTTTATGATTAGGAAATGAACCTTGTCCCTCTTAGCTGGATAATTTATTTATTTCACACAGTAGGAGCAACAGCAAAGCACTCATCATTTTATTTTCAAAAACCCCTGGCTTACAGACTGTGTTTACCATGAGAGTTTTCTCTAACCATTGTTGAAATGTTTTAAAAGTTGCAATTTGAAGCTGTGCATAAATATCCCTATCTGATGTTCTGTGTGCCTGGGGAGGCAGGAGGGGTGACCTGATTACGTGTGCTCACAGATCTCTCTGCTTCACGTTCCTGCACACAGAACAACAACATAACTTTCTTCTTTCAGGATAGTTAATGTGCTGGCCCAGAATTACAGCACCAGATGTGTTGCCACAGAAACAATTTAAAGGGAGAAGGAATTGTGAGCAAATTTCTTGTCTTGTGGAAAATGTTTGAGAGGCTCTCCTTGTGTTCCCTGTTTCTATCTGTGTGTGTACAGCAGAGAATAAGGGACAATTTTGCTTTTGTTTCCTGCATCTGCTAGTGGTTTAAAATTCTCTATACAGAGTTGAAAACTGAAAAATATTCTATTATGGGCATGACTTGCGTACCTCAGAGACATTTTTTATTAAATCCTGATTCAGTTTTAGAAACTTTTTTCCTTTAAAAATGTGCTGTGCTCTAGCTGATTTACTTACCTCCACTTGCAACATGCTTTGGAAAATATTTCCAGTCACAGTTTTTTCTGTGAAAGTAAGAAAACATTTGACTTTATACTTACCCAATATTTTGATGCTGAGAATTAGGATCACATTCTCCTTACTCCAACTGACATGCTGATGAAAAGAGGGAATGTTTACAGGAAATGTTTTGATTTAATCTTGCCTAGGAAGCCCTAAAGTAGCCGAAGCCCTTAATTTTAGCTAGTATTTCTTTTTCTCGAAACAGTAGATGCACTGTTCAACACACTCTTCTCTCAGCTCTGGACAAAATGCAATGTGAATTACCTCAGTATGTCCTTTTGACATTTTTGACAGCATCTTTATCCTACAGGTTTTCATTCTCTTTGGGGAGAGTAAAGAGAGGAACATCCAGGAAGGTCCCAGCCCTGGCAAAATTGAAAAAAGGCCACAATGCCCACATGAAGAGCTTGTTTCCACAGTCCTTTGTGTGCTTCATGCATTTGGGAGGTCTTTGTCCCTGCACATTTTGAAATGCTGTGGAACTGAAAGAGCTGTAACTGCTTTACCTCACCAAAAGCCAAGGTGAAGTTTGGGTCTCTTTGGAGTGATGGGAAGATTTTGCCATGTGCAGTTGTATGCATGATGCTGCCCTTGGTTTGGGAGGGAATGGGCACACAGGGTTATCCTGGGAAACCTCCTGTCCTTCTTTGGGTGTTTATTGTTCCCCTCAGTGAGATCTGTGATTATTAAATCTGTTTTCTTTTAGCCAGACTTCCAAATGCCCCTGAGTCTGGAAGTACATAATTTATTCCCTTTTTTACTCATTCTCATACAAATCTGTTATCTTCACTTTTTCTTTGATGAAAATAGTTTATTACAGAAATATATCCATGTATCCCCGAGTTAGGAGCAGTTGCTTGTGCCTTAGAAAGCAGTTTTACCTTTTTTCCAGTGCCCTGCCGGGGCGGTGGGTTGAAGTCTCGGGGCTGTGGAGCTGGGCTGTGTGCCATGTCCCACTCTGCAGCTCTGGCAGCTCCACAGGCATCTGCATCACCCAACAAGATCTGATAAGAAACTCATTTCTGTCTTGCATTCCTTCTCAGGCCCAGCTGCAGCCCTGGGTGTGGAAGGAATGCAGAGCTGTGTCTGGAGCTGGTGCCTGCCCAGTTTGGGATGAACTCGCAGGGTGAGGGTGGCTCGGAGCCTCAGCCCTGCTTGCCTGAGACTCCACAGCATTTCCATCCAGCTCTCTGCCCTGGGAGCTCTCTGCGGTGGAGCCAGCCCTCGTGTTTACAGCCTGATCCAAAGGTGCCTTTAATTAGTTCACATCTCTGCTCTTTGATCCCAGGAGAGGGCACTTGGTGTTTCCTCAGGCCGCAGAGCTTTCCCAGACAGGCGGTGCAAACTGGAAATATAGGTACTTGGCATTTTCTTAAAAACCTCCTTTGGGCCCGAAATGTCTTGTGCTTGGTTTCAATCCAGTATTGACTAAGACTGGAAAGTGTGAATAAAGTCAGCTCAGTTGCATTGGAGTTATTCAAATGAATTCTAAAACTATGTACTTTCCACTTATATATTTTCCATAATTCTCTGCACTTACATAACCTCTGCTTTATTATTGAAATTGCTACAGACTTGAAGAGGGAAATATCATTTTCCAATATTGAGCCTGAACAGATAAAAAGAGAGGCAATTCCAAGGCCTCAGAGTGCTTTAAAATCTGAATGTTTGCTGCTTTAATGTTGGTGTGAATCTGTTTGTGCTTCTGCTAGTGCAGAGGAAACACCACCTCAGTAACCTTCAGTTCCCCTGGGCACTGAATTTCTGAAATGTTTCCATTACGTAACTGAAATTTTACACAAAGAGTGCAGGAGATTTCTGCAGATGATAAGGAAGGATTTTGTTTGGTGAGATGTGTCAAGTTGCAATAGTAGGCCAGGGTTTTCCAAAGGGATGTTCCAAATGTGGCTGTTTGAGCAATCACTGCAGTCCAGCGCATGGATGTACCCGAGACCTGATCCAACAGGACATTCATTGGCTTTTCTAAAGCTGTGAGGGCCTGTAGCAAGTCAGTGATCTGGTTTTTCACAGTGGCAGACGAGAGAAGAGCATTTCCAGTGGATGGATCATGTGTGGAGATGCCTGGGTTTGAGTCCTTCAGCAACACACAGTGCTTGCAAGTCTGGTGTAAAAGTAACTGCACATCTGCTGGTGCTGTTCTTGCAGCACCAAGAGCCCAGGCTGGGTGGAAATGTGTCACTGTTGTCTGAAATGTGGCCCCAGACACTGATCTGGAAGGTGGGGCCCCCTCTGAAGAGCCCTGACCTACAGAAATATTCCTTCAGTCAGGCACCACAGGCACCCAGACCATAGAGCTGTCCTTTGTGTCACTGTGCTGAGGTCATGGAGCTCCTTCCTAATTCCACTGAGTTGTGCCTCTCCCTTTTTCTGAAGGCTTCACATGCCAATGTGTTGTGCAACCACCTAATTTGTTAACAAATAAAGGAGGATTTAAATAACCTTAGAAAATCAGTGTGGGCATCCCAGCTGCCTGCAAACAAACAGCAGAAGTGCAAAACATTTAAGTAGCAATGCAAAGTATCTCAAAATTGCTTGAGCTTGGGTTCTTCAAGAACAAAACCAGGATTATAAGGAGAACATGCTCTGCAGGAGAAGGCTTTGGGTGAGAGCACACACTGCACCTTGTGCTGGGGTCTCCAGTTCAGACATGGTTTCTGTGCTGTTTTCCCCAGAGCTCCAGTAACACACGATGAATCTTCCCCCCACGTGTGTATGTATGAATTTGACAACTTTTAGTTCCTTTCAAAGCAATAAGTGAGGATACTTTGACCTGCAATTGTCAGATTATGTTTACAGTACAGTAAAACTGTATCTTCTTGTAAAATATCTCTCTCGAGGAAACCAAGAGCAAAACTCCACATTTGTGTTAGCACATGGAATGCGCTGCCTGCCCTTGCTGCTGGCATTGTGTCAGTGTGGATTGAATCCTGGCTCTGCATTAGAGTATTGCTGGAATCACTTGTCAATGTTTTCTATCTGAAAGGCCATTTCTGAATTTTGAAGATAAGCCAAGGGTGACTTTGTGCCAGGAAGGTCTCTGGTGTGTGCACTGTCCCTGGCAGCTCTGCAGAGGATCACCAGTGGGGGTTAGGAGATCACTGCTCCAGAGATGCTGAGTAGACCGGTCCAAGGTCTAAGAAAAACTCCTTGTGATGCTGGAAAATAGGAAACACTAAGCAGATGTGTTAGTTGCAGTAAAAGCTTTGGGTCCTCAGGGAGCAAACAATTGGGTTCACAGTCTTGGAAAAGTCTGAGACAGAGAGCTGATTGATTTTTTCTGTGCACAAAGCTGAAATGCACTTTCATGAGTGACTCTTGCCGTGTTTGTTGATGGTATTCATAACATTTCAAGGGACCTTAGACTACATTAGCTTTTGGCCTAAATGTTGAAGTGGTTTGATCTTAACTGATCCTGCTGAGCAACTTTTGCTTGGCACTTCCAGTTGTGTCTGCCTTTTTTCTCCAGTGAGCAGCTCTCGTGTGCTGGGGCTGGGTGTTCTGGGGGCCCTGACATTTCCAGGAATTTGTTATCTCTGGCAGAGGCCTCGTCACTGGCAGTCATTGATAAGTGGGAAAGTAAACATGTTGCTGATGAGACAGTGTCCCTTCAGTGCCTGAGCACCAGGCTGACACCCTGGTCCTCCAGAGGAAAATTCTTCTACCACTCATTAATTTTTAAAATTGTCTTTCCTGTATGACTTTTGTTATAACTTACCTACTTCTTGCTCCCTTTTAATGTAGAGGGTTTTTTCTTGTTTACGAATTTCAGTCACATTAGGGCCATCGCTTCCCAGCCTGGCAGAAATACTTCTGAAACTAGTGTGGCAACTATTTAACTTCTAATGAATATGAAAAGGGAGTTTTCACATGGCCAAACAGATTCTTTCTATTTGCTGCCTGTGAAATACTTGAATTAAACAGCAATAACAAAAGCCAGGGCTGAAGGAAGGGAGTTTGTAGAGGCCAAGGCAGATCTCGGTTGCTCTGATGGAAGCACAACCACTCTCCTTTGCAGATGTGCTGTCAGAACTGGTTTTGGGAGCCCTCCTGACCAGACTTGCAGGAAAACAACTGCTCTAGAAATGCCACTGGAAGCAGCCCCTGCCAGGATGTCTCCTTTAGGCTGGAGGAGGTTGCAGGGACTCTCCAGGAAGCAGCAATCACTGGAGGTTTTGTTGTGTTTCCTGGGCAAACGGTGCCCAGGAGTCAGTGCACAGGTTTGCCTCCTCTGATTTTATAACTTTGCAGAGAGTGTTGCTGTAATTCTGTTTAGGCTTGAAACAATCCAAAGCTGTCTGCTAAGCAGGGCCAGACTGACTAAACTTGAATGTCTGGTTTAAAAGTAAATGTAGTCCAGTTTAGACTGCATTTTCCTCAGCTGCTCACTGCACCATTTGTATCCTAATGCACATTATTCTTTCAGCTGTTTCCAAAACCATCTCCTTTTGAATGTTTAATATCTAAGAACCAATTAGTTCCATTTTGTTTTCTTTGGATAGGTTGCAATTAAACATTCTTTCAAGTGGGCTTTATTTAGCTAATTCCATCACAAAAATAAGCTCTAAGGGAATGAAGAGAAGTTCAAGCTAGCCAATGTTTATTTTTATTATTAATAATTTATATTATGGGAGTCCCCAGGGGAACTAGGGCCCCACTAAACCCAGTTTCCTCTGCATGTAATGACTGTGTCTCACAAGACTTTATTCAGTAGAAGATTCCTTTTTGCTGCTGTGTCTCAGTGCAAGGGACCTGCTCCACACTGCAGGGAAAGGACTGATGAAGAACACATAAAAACAAATCAAGAATCATTGTTTTAAAGAAGCTTAAGCTAGGCACCAGAGGGAGAATCTGATGCATCTTTTCTGAAAAAGAAAAAAAAAAGCCACACTTATGTATTTTTCCAGTTTGAGTGCCAAATCATGATCTCCAAGGTCTCGTTGATCATCTCTGAAGTGATGGCAAAGCTCCCAGTGAATGGGAGCAAGACTGGGAAGAGAAGTGATGGTCCTAAAAATCTTACCTCTTTCTGAACTAGCAGCACAGCACCCTTTGTAGTTTAAAAACAACTGATGGGCAAAGTTAGTTTAAAAAATGTTCTTGTTTAGTCAGATTTCTGTCAGAAGTTACGGTTTTCACAGCGTCTGACCCTCAAGCATTGGTCTGCTTCATGTTTCACAGAAGTCTTGAGAGGAGTAATTGAGAGTCCCTCAGAGCTGTGAAGGTGACCAGGGGCAGCCCCTGGGTGTGTGATTTGGGCTGGTTTGATGAATTTGAGCAGTTCCCATCCCTGGGGAATGGGATTCAGGGTTCAGGGCTGTGGGAATGGTTGGCATGAGCAGGGCAGGGGGTACAAGTGCCCCCGAGCAAGAGCAGCACTGAGGATTTTCCTCCTGCAGGAATTGCCATCCTCCTCCCCTTCCCTCCTGGGGAAGCACCAGGCCTTGCAGCACTCTTTCCATAATTCCACAGGCAAGACCCAGACAGGAGCTTTCCTGACAGTATTCCTGTCTTCATTAGCTCAGTTTAAAGGGGGTGAGACATCTGGTTCCAAGTACAGCTGTGTGGTTGGGATGGAGGGCTTTTTCTCTCCACAGAAAAAGCACTAAATCTGGCCATTTAAGACAAGGTTTTATAGGAGCTAGAGCTGGGCCGTGCAAAGTTCACCTCATTAAAAACAAGCCCAAAGCAAATAAAAGCAGAGAATAACAGAGTAAAAAATGTGGGCCACGAATGTCAGAGCGTGTGTGTTAGGAACTGGTAAGAAGTGAAGGGAAAAGTTTGGATGTACCCGCATGCATTCAAAGCTCTTGGTTTTTTCCACAAGTAAATATTTGGCTTTAAAGCATAAACCTTTTGTCCCTTCTATTTCTCTCTTCTGTGAAATTTTATATATTTTTCCTCTTTTTCTGGTGTTCTTT